ACGTGCATTTGCATAAGTTAAGCACAAACAGAAATACAATAGGATGACAGTGGAAGTATATACACATTAATAAGTATTGGTGCAATAGGATCATACCTAGAGTAGAATGTTCACATGCACCTACATAAGATAAACACAAACACAATAGAATGACAGTGGATGTATAAACATATTAATAAGTACTCGTGAAATAAGATCATACCTACAATAGGATGTACATTTGTACCTGCATATGACAAAGACAAAGATGAACATAATAAGTTTACAGTGGACGTGTAGAAACATTAGTAACTATTGGTAGAGTAGGAACATACCTGCAATGGGATGTACACGTGCACCTACATGAGTCAAACACAAACATAAATACAATAGGATGACAGTGGAAGTATATACACATTAATAGGTATTGGTGGAATAGGATCATACCTACAATAGGATGTTCACATGCACTTACATAAGACAAACACAATAGGATGACGATGGAAGTATGGACATATTGAAACGCAATATGATGTACACTTGAACCTGCATAAAAGAAACGCAAACAAAAACACAATAGGATGACAGTGGAAGTATAGAAACATTAATAAGTATTGGTGGAATAGGATCATACATGCAATCGGATGTACATGTGGACCTGCATAAGCCAAATAAAATAAAAAAACACAAACACAAACACAAACACAAACACAATAGGGTTACAGTGAAAATATGGACACACTATTAAGAATTATTGGAATAGGATTGTACCTACAATAAAATATATATGTGCACCTCTGTTCAATTGCTCAATAACATTAGCTGCATTATCATCGCGTCACAGATTTTTCGTGCCACAACAGCATATTCTCTCAGTCCTGCAATTCAATTGTGCTTATTAAAAACAAACATTGAGTAAAAGAAAATAAATGTGGTTGAGTGACCCAAAATACTTAACTCATAGTGGGTTGAGGATATTGTAAAATTACTAGCTCGGCATAAATTGAGCGAACAACACAAACACACACACACAAACATAAACACAAACAATCACAAACATAAACACACACAAAAACATACAAACACAAACACAAGGTCAAACACAAATGCAAAAAAAAAAAACACAAACACAAGGTCAAACACAAACGCAAAAAAAAAACACAAACACAAGGTCAAGCACAAACGCAATAGGATCATACCTACAGTAGAATGTTCACATGCACCTACAAAAGATAAACAAAAACACAATAGAATGATAGTGGTTGTATAAACATATTAATAAGTACTGGTGAAATAAGATCATACCTACAATAGGATGTACACTTGTACCTGCATAAGACAAGGACAAAGATGAACATAATAAGTTTACAGTGGACGTGTAGAAACATTAGTAACTATTGGTAGAGTAGGAACATACCTGCAATGGGATGTACACGTGCACCTACATGAGTCAAACACAAACACACACACACACAAACATAAACACAAACAATCACAAACATAAACACACACAAAATCATACAAACACAAACACAAGGTCAAACACAAACGCAAAAAAAAAAAAACACAAACGCAAAAAAAAAACACAAACAAATATAAAACACAAACTCAAAAACAAACACAAACCCAAAGGAAAACGCAAACAAAAAAGCAAACGCAAACACAATAGGATGACAATGAAAGTATAGACACAATAATAAATATTGGTGCAATAGGATCATACCTATAGTAGAATGTTCACATGTACCTACATAAGATAAACACAAACACAATAAAATGACAGTGGATGTATAAACATATTAATAAGTACTAGTGAAATAAGATTATACCTACAATAGGATGTACACTTGTACCTGCATAAGACAAAGACAAAGATGAACATAATAAGTTTACAGTGGACGTGTAGAAACATTAGTAACTATAGGTAGAGTAGGAACATACCTACAATGGGATGTACACGTGCACCTACATGAGTCAAACACAAACACACAGACACAGACATAAACACAAACAATCACAAACATAAACATACACAAAATCATACAAACACAAACACAAGGTCAAACACAAATGCAAAAAAAAAAAAAAAACACAAACAAATATAAAAACACAAACACAAAAACAAACACAAAAGAAAACGCAAACAAAAAAGCAAACGCAAACACAATAGGATGACAGTGAAAGTATAGACACAATAATAAGTATTGGTGCAATAGGATCATAACTACAGTAGAATGTTCACATGTACCTACATAAGATAAACACAAACACAATAAAATGACAGTGGATGTATAAACATATTAATAATTACTGGTGAAATAAGATCATACCTGCAATAGGATGTACACTTGTACCTGCATAAGATAAAGACAAAGATGAACATAATAAGTTGACAGTGGACGTGTAGAAACATTAGTAGCTATTGGTGGAGTAGGCACATACCTGCAATGGGATGTACACGTGCACCTACATCATGAGTCAAACACAAACACACACACACACACAAACATAAACACAAACAATCACAAACATAAACACAAACAAACACAAACATAAACACACACAAAATCATACAAACACAAACACAAGGACAAACACAAACGCAAAAAAAAAAAAACACAAACAAAAATAAAAACATAGACACAAAAACAAATACAAAAGAAAACGCAAACAAAAAACCAAACGCAAACACAATAGGATGACAATGAAAGTATAGACACAATAATAAGTATTGGTACAATAGGATCATACCTGCATTAGGATGTACACGTGCATTTGCATAAGACAAACACAAACACAATACGCCGATAGTGGAAGTATAGAAACATTAATAAGTATTTGTGGAATTGAATCATACCTGCAATAGGATGTACACATGAACATAGATAAGACAAATAAAGAAAAATAGAAACACAATAGGATGACAGTGGAAATGTAGACACATTGGTAAATATTGGTGGAATAGGATCATACCTGCAAAAGGATGTACATGTGCATCTGCATAAGACAAACATAATAAGAGGACAGTGAAAGTATATACACATTAATAAGTATTGGTGATATAGGACCATACCTACAACAGGATGTACACTTGCACCTGCATAAGACAAACACAAAGATGAACACAATAAGTTCAAAGTAGACATAAAGAAACATTAATAAGTATTTGTGGAATAGAATCATACCTATAATAGATTGTATACGTGCATTTGCATAAGTTAAGCACAAACAGAAATACAATAGGATGACAGTGGAAGTATATACACATTAATAAGTATTGGTGCAATAGGATCATACCTACAGTAGAATGTTCACATGCACCTACATAAGATAAACACAAACACAATAGAATGATAGTGGATGTATAAACATATTAATAAGTACTAGTGAAATAAGATCATACCTACAATAGAATGTACAGTTGTACCTGCATAAGACAAAGACAAAGATGAACACAATAAGTTGAAAGTAGACATAAAGAAACATTAATAAGTATTTGTGGAATAGGATCATACCTATAATAGATTGTATACGTGCATTTGCATAAGTTAAGCACAAACAGAAATACAATAGGATGACAGTGGAAGTATATACACATTAATAAGTATTGGTGCAATAGGATCATACCTACAGTAGAATGTTCACATGCACCTACATAAGATAAACACAAACACAATAGAATGATAGTGGATGTATAAACATATTAATAAGTACTAGTGAAATAAGATCATACCTACAATAGAATGTACAGTTGTACCTGGATAAGACAAAGACAAAGATGAACATAATAAGTTGACAGTGGACGTGTAGAAACATTAGTAACTATTGGTGGAGTAGGAACATACTTGCAATGGGATGTACACGTGTACCTACATGAGTCAAACACAAACAGAAATACAATAGGATGATAGTGGAAGTATATACACATTAATAGGTATTGGTGGAATAGGATCATACCTACAATAAGATGTTCACATGCACCTACATAAGACAAACACAATAGGATGACGATGAAAGTATAGACATATTGATAAGTATTAATGTAATAGGATCACACCTGCAATAGGATGTACACGTGCACCTGCATAAGACAAACATAAAGACACACATAATAAAAGGATAAGGGATGTATAGACATATTAATAAGTATTGGTGGAATAGGATCATACCAGCAATATGATGTAGACTTGAACCTGCATAAAAGAAACACAAACAAAAACAATAGGATGACAGTGGAAGTATAGAAACATTAATAAGTATTGGTGGAATAGGATCATACCTGCAATCGGATGTACATGCTGTCAATTTTCCATCTCCTTGCCAAGTCATAGAATAAATCAAAATCATGATGATTTTTCTCTTTTCTTCAAAAGTAGTAATAGAAACAATCAACCCAGTATGTAAATGACATCATTTAATAATGTTGCATTTTAGTTTCTAATTTTGCATTAGTTAATGGTTATTATCTTTTACAGGTTTTGTATTATCTTGTTAGGGTCGAACCATTCACTACTCTTGCAATCAAACTACAAGGCGGAAAATTTGATCATGCAGATCGAATGTTTTCTGATATTTCTGCTACATTGAATGGAGTTCTTGAGGACATGAGTGATGTGAAGGAATTGGTATACATTTACTAACTTACAACAGAATGATTGATTTTCTTGAATGGTTGTACATTAAATTTCTTTGCAATTGCATGTTAAAGACTTCTAGTTTCCCTTAGCAACTTCAATGTTTTTAGTACTTATATTTTTACATGCTTTTAATTGGTTTCTTGAAACTTATATTTTAAGCTTTTCTTTTTCCTCTTTTAATGTTAAATTAGGTTCTCGAGCTATTTTACCTCCGGAGGTCCTCACAAATGAAAATTCAATTGATTTTGGCACAACACGATTGGGAGGAAAGCTTGGTATACTCATTGAGATTTTCTCCATTTTCTTTTTAAGAAGACAATTAGTTACATGTATGTGCATATTAAAGTTATTTCTGTTGTGTATTACGATTGCCATGCCGAATACTTGTAAAACTTCTCGCTTGGGCTGAGAGTCCAGTTGATTTTGTGCACAAGCATAGGATGGCTCTGGAGAGCGAGTATGTATCTGCTAATTTGCATGAGTGGATTGATCTCATATTTAGGTAGGCTTTCTTCCTACTTTCAGTTTCTCCCCAATCTTTTGGAGTCCAATCATACTTCAAGGCTTCTTTCTGTTTATTCATGAGTCTTAGTTTTCCTAGCATTTTCAATGTAGATATCTATATATTCCTTTTTAAATTTCCATATGGTTATATTAAAAGGATTTAACCATGCAGGTATAAACAACAGGGCAAAGAGGCTATTGCAGCAAATAATGTTTTCTTTTACATTACCTATGAAGGGACAGTGGATATTGATAAAATATTTGACACAGTATGTCTCTGTTCATCCTCATATTTTCAATTCATCTTGTTGTCTATGTAACATAAAATTCCAACTCCCTGAAACAAAATATGAAAATATCCTTAAATCAATTCATATCAGAACTACCTTTGGTTCAAGGATTAAAGTACATGATAATTATAGTTTTGCTTGTCACTTGTATGTGTGATTGTTACATAATTGCTATTATACATGAACTTGACTGCTTAAGCATGATATAAACAAGGCAATCCTTGTGACCGATACTAAGTTGCGAGAACTCGAGGAAAATAGAAAAGATTAGATGCGGAAAATATCCATTTCTCTTTTTGGGTAAAAGATGAGATGGAAAAATAATCCCTTGTGCCATTACTGTCTATATGTGAACTTCTTAATGAAAGAAAGAAAGAAAGATATATTGATACTAAAAGAAAAAGAACAATCGGTAATACATGTAATTCTCTGTTACAAAGATGAGATGGAAAAATAATCCCTTGTGCCATTACATGTCTATATGTGAACTTCTTAATGAAAGAAAGAAAGAAAGAAAGATATATTGATACTAAAAGAAAAAGAACAATCGAGTAAGACATGTAATTCTCTCATTACAAACCCATTAGATAGAAAATTAGGAACTGTTTTTGTAACTAAATTACAATCTGACAGAAAACATAAAAGAGTAATATACCTAACAAGAGAAATATCTCTATACCACTCCGACAAGCTCTCCGAGATGGGTGAGATACATCATGTAGATCAACCACTGTGAGCTTGGATACGAGAAAAGAAATCTTGTAGTATACAGTTGTTTAGTAAGAATATCTCGCCATAAGATCATGACCTAGAATATGTTTGTTGAACAACAAGTTGTTTAGCAAGCACTCTCTCTTGAACAAAGAAAATATCATGTTCCTTATGTTTTGTCTTTGCATATAGGATGGGATTAAGAGAGAGATTAACTGCATTGAGATTATACCAATACACAATCGGAACACAATAAGGTATAGCAAATTCACTATGAAGTGTTTGAATCCAAAGAAGTTTGGTGGTGACTGAGGCAAGGCTCCAATATTCTACCTTTGTACTAGATAGCAACAACAGTTTTCTTACGAGACCTCCATGAAACTAAAGTAGGACCAAGAAAAATTGCAACTCTAGAGCTAGACCGACTCATCTAGATCAACAGCCCAGTCTGCATCACAAAAATCTTTAATCATTATAGATTGATTAGTAATAGTTAGAATAACTTGTATACCACAATGAAGAGTACCTTTAGATATCTAAGTATTCATTTTATCGTGGTCCAATGGGATTCAAGAGGATCTGCCATAAACCGACGGATTTTATTAACGAAAAACACATCTCGACTCAGTGTGATTGTGAGATATTGAAGAGCACCCACTACGGATCTGTAAAATGAAGGATCTAACAATAAATAAGAACCTTGTTTAGAAAGTTAAATCATAGGAGAAGAAACTGGCTTAGCCTCAAGCATGTTAGTCTTAGAAAGATCTTTAATCTATTTTGAGTCGTAAGGAGAGACCCATTGGATTGAGGACAAACTTCTATACCAAGAAAGTAATCGAGATTACTAAGCTCAGCATTTTAGAGAAAAGATCGAATCGATTTTGTGAACAAAACTCGAAAAAAGGAGAGTTTCTTGTGGTAAACTTCTATATCAACAGAAGAATTACGAACTCGACCTTAGTTGTCTCGCTTTCGTTCTTGTTTGACGATGAAAATATGAATGAATCTTCTTCCAAACTTCATAAGAATAGATACACACAAGAACATGAGCAAGAATTACTATTGTAACCAAGCTAACAACATGTGATCTTATTGTTACCAAACAAGATAATATGAATTCATGTGATCAAGAAGATCTTGATCCAAAAAAAAAGGGAAAGAATTTTCCGAGCTACAAGAAAATGATGCATAAAATGTTGAGGCCATAGCAAGAAATTATTGTCATCGAGTTTCTGTAAACTATGATGAGAAATTGTGACCAGAGTTTGTGCTTGGACCAAGATGAAAGAACCACTATCACTCGGAAGTAGTGTGGGTTTGCAAGGGTGTTGCCCGAATGATTACAGGTGGTGGAGGGGAAGGTGGTAGAATGGTTTTTGAAGCCATAGATTATATTTCTCTTATACCATATTAAAAGAAAGAAAGATATATTGGTACTAAAAGAAAAAGTACACTTAGTAATAAATCTAGTTGTCTATTAAAATCAGTTATATATGCTAAACAAAGAATTACAAAACATTAAAGAGAAATATCTCTAACATGGGTGATATAACGCAAATTTTATGACTTAAAAAATGGAAGATTTATGCACTATTAATTTTAATGTGGAGTACATTTTTGCAAAAATACTAAAGTCATATTAAAAGCATCAGACCTCAACAAATAATTTATCCATGTTTTTGTAACTTGTTACTCCTCCTCTGCATGATAAGTAAAGGTGCAACAGACATGCCACACAAGATCAAATTGCTTATTTTGGACAAACACCATCCCAACTTCTTACTATTCCACACTTGAAGAAGAAACCGCTATCAGAAGTTCTGCATTTGCGGGTAACCTCGATTGAATTGATTTAACGAGTAACACCTTTATTAATACAAGCATCTATGTTTGCTTCCCTGTCTTCTTACCCTATGTTTTTTATGGATTTACGTAATCATTGGGCTAATTGATAATTTATGGTTTGCCATTAGCCATGCATGTATAATGGTTGTTTTTCACAATTTTGGTTTGTAATACGAAGAGAAAAAACAACTACATTTCTTTTTTACTAAATTACTCGCTATTCATGAACTCATGCAAAAAGTACAATTGGGGATTAATGATACAAAAAATAGAACCACAGAACCCGAGAATCCCCCATTATTCCAGGTGTCCTCGCTCAAGCGATGTCTTTTTCGCTTGAGCGACATAAGATAGCGGTTAATAAGAACAGCTTTTAAAAATATATATTAGATAGCGGTTAGCAGTAAACCGTCTCTAACGTATGTTTATAATAGCAGTTTTTATAATAAATGTAGTTTAGATAGCGGTTGGGCAAATAACCGCTATCTAAAGTCATATATGTCAATTGGATAATAATCGATCATAATTTTCGATAACCGATTATAATTGAGAATGATCGATTATAGTTGGAGAACATCGATCATAGTTTGTGCTAAGCGATTATAGTTTTACATAATTTCGCTCTGCATCTCTCTCGCCGGCGCACGCAAAAGAAACGTTCGTTCTCTCCCGGCATTCGTTCTCTCCCGGCTCTGGTTCGTCGATGTTTAATATTGGGTTCTGTTCATTTGGTTTAGGGTTTAATATGGTTGTTGATTTAGGTTTTGAATTTTAATTTGATGGTTTAATCGATCATACACCACTTATAACCGATCATCATAACGTTTAATCGATTATAACCTAAAATAATTGATCATTTTATTTGATTTTTCTAATATCGCTCAAGCGAAATTCACATCGCTCGAGCGACGCCACCTGCTAAGATTGGGGGTTCTCGGGTGTGTGTTTCGCTTGAGCGACATTATTATCGCTCGAGCGACATCCGATTCAAACATGTGGTCACCCATGTTGCATTATGCGGCTAACTTTGATCGACGTTTAGCCCCGGTCAACAACCGCTCAAGCGAAACTCACATCGCTCGAGCGACGCCACCTGCTAAGATTGGGGAATCTCGGGTTGTGTTTCGCTTGAGCGACACTGATAGCTGATTCACTTCTAAGAGCGGTTAAAGTGGAACAGCAATCATACATGTGTCACTTTTAAGAGCGGTTAATATTTTGACCGCTCTTCAAAGTGGACATATAATAGCGGTTCCAAGTTAACCACTATGTAAAACATACTTTTAATAGCGGTTGGTTGCAGAAGCGCTCTCTTTAGTAGGTTTAGATAGCGGTTCTGGGAACCGCTATCTTAAGTCCCAATTAAAAAAAAATTATTTAAATTTTGAAATTCCAATTTTTTTTCTCATAATTTGATACCGATACACCACAATTTCGGGGTATATTTCAAATTAATCTAACAAAATCCGACCAACATACAATATATTTGTACTTGATTGTCGGGTTGTATTTCGCTTCAACGACACTCTTCTCACTCGAGCGATATCCGATTCAAACATGTGCTCACCCATGTTACATTATGCGGCTAACTTTGTTCGACGTATAGCCTACAGTCAACAACCGCTCAAGCGGGTTCTTGAGTCTTGGATCTATTTCAAAGAACATGACATAAGATGTTTAACCTAATTTTACTTAAGTCTTAGGTGCTTGATGATAATCAAGCATGATGAATTGTGAGTCCAGTTCTAAGTATAGAATTGTTATTAGCATGGATGTTCACTTTGTGGAAGATGAAGAATGGAATTGGGAATATAAAACGAAGACAAATTTGGAGTTAAACCTTCTACCTCAAACACAAAATAAAATGAAGATGAAAGCTATTGCAAAATGAATTAGTGGATGATGTTCTAGTAAGAGATACCATATTGTCATCTCAAATTTATGAAAAATGCAATGTTTCTACGTGCAAACCGCAAATTATGAAAAAGCAAAGAAATTTTCAAATTGGATGGCTACAACAAAGGAGGAGTTATCAATGATGGAGACAAATCAAAATTATATTCTTGTGGAAAACATCAAGGTAGAAAAGTAATTAGAGTTAGGTGGGTGTTAATTAAGCTATATGTTCGCGGGTCTATTAACAAACACAAGATATGACTCATGGTAGAAGGTTATGCATATATTTTTTTGTATAAAACTATTTAGACACGTTTTACCGATCGTTCGATTT